ATGACTTCATACAAATCTCTGTAAACACGGACGAGGCCGGTCCCAGCACAGTTTGTTTTAGTGCGTGGCCCCGCAGGGGTTGGCAGAGGTCTGACAGCCCATGTTGTGCCCGGTGACCTGCACCTTGAACAGCGTCCCGTCCGCGCACATGCACAGCTTGAAGCGCAGCCAGTTGCCGTTACTGAACTGCTCCCCGTAAGAGGAGCTTGGCAGTCGTGACGGGCTGACCATCACAGTTCCGTTCAGGATGATGCTGTTTTCCTGTTAAGGAGAGGGAAAGAAAACAAATTGTAGAATTACAGCTTCTAATGTAAATAAGGCAGATTGTTTTTGAGAAGGACAAACTGGTTTCATGGATAAATAACATCTCTCAAATGGCTGTAGAATCAACAGTAATAAAAAAGGTATGTATACAAATGTTCAATTTTTAATGAAAATTATAGCGATGCCTATGGATTTCTAGTCACCAATGCACTTTTCTATTCCAGTGGTGGATCAATATGGAGAAAGACAGCAGTAGGGAACTTTTCACTTTACATTCTTATTAGCAATTGCAGTAAATGTAAAATATGGACAGGAAAAAGGAAATTGAATTCATACATGAAATTCATTCACACTTCAAAGTGCATATACCTTTATTTTTATCCTTCTTTCCCATCGTTCCATATATACTGCCATCTTAATCTCCAGAAATCTTAAAGGAATGCTAGTGAGTCTTACAGCAGCATCACAGAAGGTAATGCTCCAAAATATATGCTCTGCTCTTCTGGCAAAGGTTGCCAACCCTGGTTCAGCTTCCAGAGGAGATTAACTCCCTCTGGTATTCACGTCAGTACAGAGGCCAATAGCTTAGCTTTAACTGCATAGTAGGTTTTTGGTGTCTTAACAGTAGTAAATCAATGTTACCTGAAGCTACTCAATCACTACTTAACAGCAAAGTAATAAATCATCCATTTAAATCCTACCAAATATACTAACTTTTATGCATGAGTAATTTATATAAAATTTGAAAATATATAAAGCTACATCAGTTTATTATCAGCTTAAATTTGAAGCTAAGCTGTTAAAAAAATTGCTTTGATTTGAAATACTTACTGCTTTAAGTTCCATGTTTCCACCCATTCGAAACTCAATTGTCTTGCCTGTGATGAAAACACCTTCATTTCCCCGGACAATGGCACGACCATCAACCTTTATGTTTAGATCACTGGTTGCATTGCTGGTAATCTAAGAACACAACCAAAATAACCTTATTACGGATTAGTGAAAATGTGGCACTTGTGTTTGTCTGAGTAACTTTAATTACCTTAAAAGTAGTGCTGTGCAATTTAATAAAAAACTTCAATTTCCTTTCTGCCACTAGCTTCTGCATATTTGTTATTTTCCATGTTCAATTTCAAAACAGGATTACTGAATTTTGGAAGGTATGTAAAATTAATTTTTTGTATAAAGATAACAATTCATATGACAATTTTATGGGATACACAGCTGTTGTACCAAATACAGGCTTCCTGTTAAGACAGATTATGTAAATTTACCCCTCTGTTTTCACTGAATCTGTTCCTCCTATGTATTTATAGTTGTGGGTGTTTTTTCTGCACAGGATTGCTCAGTGCTTCCAAAGGCACACTCAACCCCCTATAAAACCACTAACCCTACTCTACCCTTACACAAACAGTGGGCTGTATTCTCATTACTTACACAAAATAAGAGACATACCCTTTCTGTAGAGGCCTTTTGTACATTCAAGATTTTAACTCCATTTGGCAGATGAAACTCATGAGTTTCATAGTCGGTGCTGAACAAAGTATTTTGTGTTCGTGGGTCAACAAATTCCATGCCAATATCGCTGGTGATAGAAGTTTTGTCTTTTTCCACGCTAAGCTTGGTTGTTCCTTGCTGAAATACAATCTTCAGAAACAAAGGCATGAACTTAATGATGTTTCAAATGTAATATTTATTAGCAATGTGAGTGTAACTCTCTAGTGTTGCTCACACACTTTCAATCCATGGTATAACTTACAGGCTGATTATTCCCAGTGATCACCAAGTCTTCATTCCGTCTCCCTCCTACGGTGCTTTTGTATAAGGGATGTATAACACCCATGTCAGACACCTGCTTAAAGCGCAGCAAGCCACTCTCGTGGAATTCCATACTGTCACAACCATTGGGGCCAATTCTTATCACGGCCCAGATAACCAGGGTGATCTGAAAGAGAAACACATTTTCAAGGATTATGTTGATCAGATCTTCCCACACAATTACTGTATTAATTAGATGTTTTATTTGAACAATTATTAATGCTAGTGTTTAAGTGAGCTTTAACTGTGAGTTGACTTTAGTTTGTTCCTACTGAAAACACCATAACACGTTTAATTATGAAAAGCATTTTAAATTATTTTTAGACTTACTTGAAACAGTAACTGAAATGATTTATATATATATATATGAAATACTAAATCATATCCATAGTTATATCTTTTTTCTATTTAAGGGTAATAAATAAATTTACTTAATAGTTCAGCTTGGTATATAGTATGTTGAACTGCAAGAATGCATCCTCCCAGATGGATGTGCAATTATGAAAAATAGTTTGTTACTTCTCATTGACCAAGCAATAAAAATGTGATTATTAGAACAATGAAGCTTTAAATTGCAGTGGCTGGTTAATTCTGAATGTTCACATACAGCTCTGTAACATAAAATAAAGCCATGTTTTATATGCCATATATCCTGAATGCATATGTACTAATAACACTTCTCATGAGGTGACCATTATTACCAAAATACTCATGCCTGAACTTACACCATTCTTCCATCTAACCTTGCTCAGACTACATAAGAACTAAAAAGAAAGAAGAAAAATGAGAATCTCCTTCAGCATGTTTTAAGGCCTCAGCCATACTGGAAACTTTTTTGTACTGAACTGTCAAAATGAAATATGACCTAATGTTGCTTCCACTATAGCTATGATACTCACGATCAGATTGATGACGGCCAAAATAAAAAGAACAACAATCACACAAATGGCCAAGTTGCCTTTCCTGCCACGTAAGCCTGTCTTATGGAGACGGTCTTCATCAATTGGAATGTATCCTGCTTTGAAGTTGCTGTTGTGCTCCTTGTTAACATTCCTGCGTTCCACAGCCTTCTCTCGCATAGACTTCTTCACCGGGCCGTTAGAGCTTTGCTGTAACACAAGGCATGGGTTAGCTTTAAAAGGCATGTAAATTAGCTACGATGGCACACACATATGTATGCAAAAAATGTAAACTGACTAGTGGGATATATTGGATATTATGTTCAGTATTAGATTTAAGTCTGGTACCTGGCTGTCACAATACACACTTAGAACCACAGCAACCTCTGCTAGCACAATGACTAAATTTAAAATCCAGATACTTTCAAACAATATATGGCTTTATATCTCATATTTATCAAGGCAGAATAGGAATTATTAATTATATTGTTACAGTTAAAAAACTAAAACCAGCTACCAAGAAATTAATCAAGTTTTTACCTCTCAGGAATGATACAGGACATAATCCTGCAGGTCATCCGCCAATACGCAGGATTTTAGTTCCCTCCATGCTCATATGTGATAGACTCAGTGGCTATTTAAAATGAGTGTGGTGGATACAGTTTTTAAATTAGTTTGACAGCATAGGGTTTGCATTCAACTCCTGTTGCTTGCATGCAGCATTGAGAAAGATACTGTGAAGCTTCAAACCTGGCATGGGGAATTTGGCCAGAGTAGCTTTCATGTAATAATCTGAAGTTATGAGATTGTAAGGGATATCCTGTCAATGTAACAAAGTAATAGAGGAAACTCTTGTACGTATTCATAGTAAAAATAAACCTTTAATGTATTTTCGTAGCTGTCCAAAATTTTGTTCCACTTCCCTCGAATGGAACGGTTTGTTATTTAGGGATTCACATCTTCAAAGAAGGAGTCTGATCTTTTGGATGGAATTAAGTTTGTTCACTTGAAATGAACCCTAAAGCTACACCTTAAGTAACTGCACTTGCACATATCTACACTGACGTAACGAGTAACAACACCGTGGTTTTTTCTGCTGTTGAAGAACTATTAAGAGATGGTGTTGAGAAAGGTGCTTGACCTGGACGAGTTTGTGGAGGCTTCGCTGCCTCGGGGATGTTGAGGACCCCCTGTGACCCTGCAGAACCCACAGGAGCTGCGGGGCGCCGCAGGCACCCCCGGCTGCCTCCCGCCCGCGGCAGCGCCGAGCGCCTCGACAGGCGCGGCGGCTCCGTCCCCGCACCGCTCAGACGCCAGGCGCCTCACGCCCAGGGCACCAAGTATTTCTGTCTGTCACATACCCACGCCTGCGGGCAGGACGGCGCCGCCCCGCCCGGACAGCAGGCTCGGGCCGTCTCTCCCCGGCACGGCCGAGCCCGTTCTGTCCGAACAGCGCCGGGCACAAGGCGGGAAGGGCCGCCCGAGCGCGGTTTCTCCCCTCCCCAGCCGGAGCGCCCCGGCACCACACCAGCCTCGCCCACCGCAGCGAAAATGGCACCCCCACCCGAACGCCCCCTCAGCGAGCAGCACCCCCGGCAGGACAGCCTGCTCCCCGCGGCCCCGCTCCCCCCTGGCCCCGGCGGGGATGGCGCCGCCGCCTCCCCGTGCCCGTGTCCCGCTGCGGACGGACCTGCTCGGGGGCGGCCGCCGCCATCTTTCCCCGCCACCGCCGCCGCTGCGCAGGGGCCGCGGGCGCCCCCTGGTGCCGCTCCGCGTGCCGGGACCCTGCGGCTCAAGCCACCGGCGTTACCCGGCAGCGTCACCTGGCGGCCGCGAGCCATCCACGCGCCCCGCGAGGCGTCTCGCTGCCCCCCTCATTACCGTGGCACCGGCACCACCGCGCCAGCCGTTGCGACACCACCGCGGCTGCAGAGGCCCTCCGACGCGGCCAAGCCCAGGGAAGGGGGCCGGGCTGGCATTACCATCTCCTTTACACCTGCGCCGCCCGAAGAATACTCCCGGAGGGACAGCAGAGCGAGCTGACATCTAGCCATGGCCAAAGACTTAAAGAACCTGGTTGGCGCGGGAAGAGCCCGGGAGCTGCAGGAGAAGCTGGAGAGCTGGCAGCAGAACTATGAGGTGAGTCCTGCCACTCCTCGGGGCCAGAGGCAGCGGCACTCGTTCCGCAGGCCGATCTGGGACACTGCCCGGCACGCGCGTCCAGTTAGCGGCAGTTTTAACACCTGTTAAGCTCCCACAGCCTCGGTTTTTTGGCTTTTTGTCCGTGACAAGGTCCCCTGAAAACAAGGGTTGGAGGTTAAAAGTGAGATTTGATCGGTACCGGCTGTACTTAGAAGAGAAGGAACGTTGAAAACGGCAGGTGAAAGGATCACGGTTGGGGATGTGCTCAGAAGGAACGGTTGGGGCGCAGGAACGGTCAGGAAAACGTGAGGAAAAAGGCTGCTGAAAGTGAGAAGGGGTTATCCAGCATCCCAGCTTTTCTGGATGGGGAAACCTGTTAGAGTGAAAGGCTGAGGCAAGGCAACACGCAGCACGGCCGCCAAACGGCTTCAGTACGGGGGGCGGTGAGGGAGGAGTTTCCGTTACGGGGTGAGGGCTGCCGGTGGGTGAAGCGGAATCCATGAAGGGGTAACGGGAAACTGAGGAGGTGAAACACTGAAGCAGTAGAGAAGGTGTTAAATTAGAGAAAGATGAGACTTCACAGCTGTGACTTTGCTCAGTGGAAAAAAATCTTGACAGAGTTTTCCGTCCCGCATTCCCAAGTTTCTGTACCCTCAGGATGCAGATAGTTGGTCACGAGTCTGTAACCACCTACTGTGTGTGCTGTGGTTGGTGAGAAAAGAGATGCAGTGTTTTCAGGGCAAATATTTTACTTCATGGTTGAATAGGAGTTACGGTTACATGGCAGTATAACTTTCTGCAAGATTCATGGCAAAGGGCAGCTTTAAGGGGTTTGGGAATAGCTGGTAAAGCCACCACAGAGGAGGCCAGAGGAGGAACAGTGTCATGCATTTCAAAGTCTCGCAAATGATTGTTGGAGGCAGACCTTAAGAGGGCTGAGCGGCAGTGGGAGCTGACCTCTCCATCATAAGTTGGTTAGGAACAGTCTTTACAGTCTTGGGAAATGAAGATGAACAGTTTTAGGCTACTGTTGCAGAAAAAGAGGAACTGCCAGATGGAAACACCCTGTTATGTTGCTGTAATGAGCTGGAAAAATGCATTTTGCAGCCGTGTTCTTGTGGAGGTGAGCAGGTTTACTGCGCTCCCCAAGGCCTAAGGAAAGCATGTTGCAGCAATGAAAACACAAGCTGATGGGGGAATGGGTGGGAATTTCAGCTGTTTTGGAAGCTTGTAAAAAACCATATGGAGTCATTAAAACCTGAAGACCTAGAGGGTGATCTATGTGTAAGGTGATACACAAATTATAGGTAAAGATAAGGAAAGCAGGTACAAAGTGTGTATTCTTCTGGCAGGTGCAGAAAGTGTTTCCTAGGCATAATGCTGGGTTTTGCTCGTTCAGTAGTATATGTTTCAGTTTGTAACTCTTAAAAATCAGGTGAAATTGCATGGAGGCTTCATGTGACTGCTGACAAAGCAAGATAAGAACCTTATATGTATTATTTCAGCTAATATGGAAAACCAGATTTTTGGCTATTTTTAAAAATCCAACATCCAAAATAATCTGCAATCCAAAATAATCTGCTAAATTATTTTAATAACTGTTGAAAGATTTTAACTCAACTTCAACTTGTAGTTGCATCCTCTTTATGATGGAAAAGGAGTATGCTTTCTCAAGTAGTGAATGAACTGGGTCATAGAAGTCCTGATGTTTTGCTCATTTGCCTATTAGAAATAAGTATTCAAAAATGAGTATTCCAATGGATCCAGTAAGAAAAGGTTGGGAAGATGTAATTATGGGGGGGTACGTGCCATGATTGTAACAGGAATAACTTTAGTTGCAGATGTAATAATGCACATTAATTTACAGGGGAATTCTGCTGATGAAAATCTAAGCCGATGCTGTGAAATATTAGAACTGAACAGTGCAATTCAAAAGCAGCTCTTCTCAATTCTCAATGAAACATCTCAAGGAGGTAAATTGGTGCCTTGTCAAATTACTAACACATTTCACGTGTGCCATTTTTTCCAACTCTGGCTTTTTCTGTAAATGTTCTCACCATTTCTTAATGTATGTGTTTTCTTAGATGAATGTGCAGCAAAAATAAAAAGCTGTCTCCTGCCAAGTGTGTGCTATGCTTCAGGAAGTGACAACCTTACTCAGGTGTGTAAGAAACTTTTTTAAGGGAATAGAACTATGTGAATTTATACCTGCAGAAGCACTTTAATGAATTCCTGTTAATATTAGCCTCCCTCAGATTTTACTTAATGAAATATGTCCTTAGTTGTTGTGGAGACACCTATGGAGACAACCATGCTATTATGGAGGAATTTGCTTTGTATGAGAAGTCTGTGTTATTATACTGCTTTCCTTTTCTAGATACAGATTTGCCATTTACATTTGCAGAGACATAGTAACAGTATTTATGCCATGTCTCTTTTAGAAAAAATAGCACTGTGAAAATACGTGTGTAAGCTGAAGGTGTGCATAAACTCTATGCATTAATATGTGAGCTCCTTTTACTGTTTTTATTTGAATGAAAAAACTCTTAAGGATATCTTAACATTATATTATTTCCTAGAGTGTTAAAAGAAGTGTTCATGTGTGTCATGATAGCACCATGCTCCTGCCATGATATTTGGAGTTCATATGTATTTGGTATTTACTGAAGGGGTTGTAATACTGTTTGATACTAACAGAAAAAACAGATCTGTTGTGGCTTTCTGGCTTGAAAGAAAATATGAGAGTTGGCTAATTCAGGCTAGGAGAAGATCTTCAAGATCCTGAGATTTGACAGTAATGTCTCCACGTTCTTTGGTTTCTCATTGACCTGCTCTGTCAAAATATTTCACAATTAAAATAGGACAAATAAAAAGTGATATCCCTTAAGAGTCAGAGTCTTGTATACAGTAGGAGTGGTGGTGTGCTGAAACCCCCCTCCCAAATATAAAATAACAAAGTTATTGAATGACAGTACACCAGGAATACCAGTTACAGATTTGTAATTGCATGTGACATTCAAAATTTAAAGAAAAGCCTTTTGCGCAGTTGCTATCCCAAAAAGTTTAGTTGAGTTGGTGATTTAGTCAATCAGAAGTTGACTAACTGAAAAAAAACAACTATGTAACACATCTGGAAAATGCTTTTTTGTAATGATTCAGGCAGTAAATCTGCATATGCTGTTCTTCCATAATTTCTACCATGAGGTATAAAATAAGTGAATATTTTACTTTCTGTAATTGAGTCTTTCTTTGGTGTGCCTGAAAGGTATTGCTTATGTCTCAGAGAGAATGCAATAGCTTTTGTTCTCAGTTTCTTTAGGAATGGTTGTTGCTGAAATATTTAGAAATATATCTGCCCATTATGCTCTAGTACTTTACTGAAGGAATCTATATGGTAGAACATTCAAGCAATGTGACTTAATTTCCTGGTAGGATTCAACTGAAGGAGAACTACAGCTGAGAGATTTGGCCTGCAAACCGAAATGTGAATTTCAAGACCTGGAGGACAAACTAAGTGAAACCCGTGCGCAGATCAACCAGATGGAACGAGAGTAGGGAGATTAACTGCATTTCTTTCTGTTTACTTTTTGGTTTTTCTTTTCCTTTGATGTCTAAATATTGATGGAGATTTGTAAAATGTTTTATTTCTGGTCTAAAACCAGAGTTGCAAAATGCATCTGAGCACTGTATCAAGTGTATATATCCAAAGTGGTGTACAAATGATACAGTCACACCCACATTAATGAATTGACTTGGTAGATTTTGCTTTAGGCAGAGGTGTTGAAAAACATGCCAGTATTCTACATAAAAAGGTTTTGTATAGTCCGTGACAATCCCTTGTGGAGTTATAGTCTATGAAGTGTTGCATGCTGAGCAAACCCTAAACAAAAAGTCGAGTAGCTACAGTGTAAGATTTATTGAAGGACCTACAACATGTCACAATTAATTAGACATGTAAATTAATTAGACATGTAAATTAATTAGATATGTAAATACCCAAGAAGATAAAAGTCACTGTCATAAGATGGAGGAAGAGAGCTGGATTTCCAGATAAGTGACTAGGTTTGAAGAGTTTTGACTAGTTGCATAAAACATATTTTATGGAGCATTATAATATAAAAAATTACTAAGTTGCTTCAGATACAAGTTTGTGCAGTTATTACCAGTTCCATGGCCATTTATAAATGGCCATGGAGTGGCAGACACATTCTCATGCATCCTATTACCATGAGAACAATGAACGTTCCACGAGTCTTGGGTCAGTACATTAAGTGATATAATTTCATTCCCTTACTAAGTGATTCCAAGAATGTCAGTTTGGATTTTCCCCATGCCCATTTCTAGAGCTCTTCTTCCCAAATTTGCTTTTCTTTCCCAGTTGTCCTTTACAGTAGAATTTTTGAGCCCTCTTTTACTACTGTTCTGCTAGAAGTCCTTCCTGAAGGATCTGACTTAGGATGGAACTGTGCAGTCTTTCGTCTTAGCAGATGTTGCTGGCCTTATTACCTGTGGTCATCTCAGTTAGCTTGTTCCTTAAAAAGGTGGAACAAAAAATCCTGTCAACTGATAAATGTTACAGCTTTTGTTGATTCAGATCCTCAAAAAAATCTCACCAGGGTCCTCCAGTAAAGAAAAGGAAGGACAGAGTGAATACCAAAATAAATAGAAAATATTTCTTTTTTCCTTCCGCTTTTGGTAAGAGACAACAGTAATACAGGTGTTTGGAGGGAGAGCACAGATGTTGGGATAGTTTTTAATATTAACTAAGAGTAAAGGACAGAAGATAAATTTGCTTCACTGGTTGTCTGCCAATCTTTAAGAATCATTCCTTCTTTTGGGGACAGCAGGAGAGGAATTGTTAGCTTTTGGTATTACTTGAATAACATGCGAGATGTCTTTTGACTGACTAATATATTTCAGCAAAGAAAAGAGCCCAAGAACCTGATAGAAGACAATACATAGGTTCTTAATCTGTAGGAAAGAAAACTGAGATGGTTTAGTTAATATGTTAAATATGAGAAATAAATTAGTTTCTTTTAAACCTGATCATCTGAGCTAGCATAAGGATGCCAAATGTTAACCAGTGATTTTTCGTATAGCACACAGTGCTCTATCTACTTTCCTGCCACAATACACTTACACAATTTAAAGTAAGATCAAGGGTTTGCTTTGTTTCATTTGTTTTTAAACTCTGGATTTTTCCTGTATTTCAGCATAAGGAAAGCATGCTGAAATTATTCATCAAACATAAGGAGCTTGCTCAATAATTTTCCTATTTTTTCTGCTCCTTTTGTTTGATGATGAGGATTAATTGATAGATAGTTTACATTGATAGAAGGACATCTTGAGACTGACTGTTCTGTGTGGTTAAGTCTGAAGTGTTCCCGTGCTGAACCATGCAGCTTAAAGAGATTACAGCAACTGGATGAGTACGAGCAGAAGATTGAGAACTTGCGGGATGAGATTGCTATGCTGGATTGCAGAAAGTCTGTCATCCAGAGCAGGTAGAGACCTTACTCAGAGAAGTCACTGATTCATAGAAATCGGTCATGTTAGGTAGCATGAATTTCTTCCTCATTTAAAATTGAAATATAAACAAAAGCCAAGCTTTTTTACTTTGTTATGAAGAAACATAAACTCTAGATTATTTGTTCTAGTGCCAAAATATTTTATTTTAAAGCAACTATGTTATGTTTGAGACAAAACAGCAAATAATGCACCTTTACAAAATACATGGAGAGCAACTGTGTGAAATAGAGAGTTTTTTTGTTAATGAGTCCTCTTTTAAAGAGTTCTGCTCTGTAGTTGTAGTGTTAAATTTTTACTTGTTTGACTTCAGCAGTACTCTTCAGTGCTACTGAAAGAGGAACAAATCTCCAAAATATTACTAGTTAAAAGTGTGTTTCCTAGGAGCAAAGTGCTTGGCCTTACGTGCTTTACAAGTTACATTACTTTTACCATTTATGCTTTAGGCTATAAAACATATTATGAAAATGCCTTCATATTAGACTAACCAGCTGTAGCTTCTTTAATGGCTTTGGCTCAAAACTCACCTTACCCTTGTAAAAATTAAATTGATGAAGAAATCTGCCATAGGGAAAAGCATCTGAGGATAGTAAAGTGACATGAAGCTTCTTTGCACGTGTATTGTAGGCTTGCTTGTGGTAGGACCTGCTCTCCACCGTGCCGTCTGACGGCCTGCTCTCCACCGTGCCGTGTGAGGGCCTGCTCTCCTCCACCGTGCCGTGTGAGGGCCTGCTCTCCTCCAGTGTGCCGTCCAGGGGCCAGCTCTCCAATACCGTGCAGTCTGAGGCCCTGTATCTCTCCTCCACCGTGCCCTTTGAGGGCCTGCTCTCCTCCACCGTGCCGTCTGAGACCCTGTGTCTCTCCTCCACCGTGCCCTTTGAGGGCCTGCTCTCCTCCACCGTGTCGTCCGAGGGCCTGCTCTCCTCTACCATGCCGTCCAAGGGCCTGCTCTCCTCTACCGTGCCGTCCGAGGGCCTGCTCTCCTCTACCGTGCCGTCTGAGGGCCTGCTCTCCTCTGCCGTGCCGTCCGAGGGCCTGCTCTCCTCTACCGTGCCGTCTGAGGGCCTGCTCTCCTCTGCCGTGCCGTCCGAGGGCCTGCTCTCCTCCCTGTCGTCTGAGGGCCTGCTCTCCTCCACCGTGCCCTTTGAGGGCCTGCTCTCCTCCACTGTGCGGTGTCAGGCCCTGTGTCAGGCCCTGTGTCAGGCCCTGTGTCTCTCCTCCACCGTGCCGTGTGAGACCCTGTGTCAGGCCCTGTGTCAGGCCCTGTGTCCGTCCTTCCAAGTGCCGCGCCCTTTGCGTGAGGCCCTGTTCACCTCCCCGGCTCAGGAGGGGCAGCGCTTCACACCGTGCCTGCCTCATAGCTCGCTATAACTTCATTTATGCTAAAGAGCGCTTGGAGGCAGAGGCCGCTTTGAGGCGATACTTCTGTGACTTGGAGACGGTGCAGAGGATAATATACACTGCAGCTGTGGTGAGAAAGAAATATTATTTCTGCTTTTACAGGAGGAGTGTTGTAAAATACTATGTCTGCATTGGTTTAAGTTGTGGGTAAAATAGCATTTCTGTCAAGTGCAGAGAAGAAAAGCTTTCTTTCCTTTTTTATTTTGATTTTTCTTTCTTCCCCTCACACTTCTACATTGAATTCTCAATGTAGTGTCCTACCTGACCTGTCCCAAGATTGGAAAGGGCCAATGATTTATTGTACAGGTACTAAAAGAGTGAAATTTGGTCTGAAATTGGTCAAATAATTTGGTCTGAAAAGTACAAGGTATCTGCAGTGATCAACATTGCCTTAGTTAGAAAAATTCTTTTGGGAATGCTGCATTAAATACTCCAATACTACAAAGTTAAAAATCTTTCCATATCATGCTTTCCTTATGCTTGTAGCTATGTGCTTTTTTAGTTTAATTGGGTCCCTTGAAACCACGTAGATACCCCACATTTACCATGAACTCAGTTTGAAGAAAGTCTTCATTTTTTCTGTATTGAATCTTCTTTTCTATAAAAATGGTGTAACACATACCTGTATTAGAGAGGCAGCATCTCTTAATGTGTGTGATCCCAAGCACATTTTGCTTACTGAAGATTTTTCTTTCAACTGTCATTCAGTTTACAATCTCCAATTCACCCTCTTCTCCCAACAAAAGAGGTGTTTCTGACTTAGATGTTAGGCTGTGGCACATAAAATGCTGTTACTCATATCTTTGAATGTGATTGCATTGATCATGGGTATGTGATGGAATCCTGTGCAAATATAGAAGATTAGGTGGGAAGCTTTTCAATCTTATCTTCTGCACATAAATTACACTCAGTCAGAGAATTCCTTTCTCATGAGTTAATTTTCTCCTTTACACAGTATATAATATTCCTCCTTATTTTGATGATAGTGGGTTAAATTAATTTTCTCAGATAACTGACAAAAAATTAAACTGGGTCTCCTGTATTTAACTAGATGTTCTTTATGTTTGCAGGAATCTTTCCGTGCAGCAAAGGTGGCCTTCTGGAAGGTCAAAATAAATGTAAAAGACACTTTGGCTATATGTCACAGAGGGGGACCTTCATCACTTGAAATCGGTGTCCTGGATTATATAGCTTGCCACAAGGATCTGTATGACGTTTGTTACAGTGTCCATGTAAGTCAAGGGCAGTGGGGAAGTAATGTGGTGGTCTCTTTCAGGAGCTAGTAAATTCAGAATATGTAAATTAGAAATGCACTGTAATGTGAAGGAGAAAAGGGCCACTGTATGGACTTTTGTCTTGTAGCAGTTTACTTTCTAGAACAATATTGCTAGGACTAGTGTATGTATGACTTAATAATAGCTTGTTTGGTTTGTTTATAGCAGCACATTCTTTCTGAAACTGTTGTTTCCTGGAATAGTCCAGGGCAACATTACTATGAGCTTTTTATACTTTGATTTTTAAATGTAGAAAGCTGAGAGGCATATTTACGGGGGATTTCTATACTTGCTTGTGAAAAAAATTGTTAGTGAATGCAAATTACTCATGTATGTTTATTTTCAGGATGTAGTTTGCTCCATGAACAAGAACCCAAGGCTTCCATGTCCAGGAGAAGTTGATTTCGTTGTCATCAGCGGTTTGATTCGAGAGTTGTGCTGTTTGGCTTTTGCAATGCAGACACTCATTCCTCCTCTTGATATTTCCTTTGGTATTGATGGAGAATGCTTCAATAGGAACATGTGAGAAATCTTTCTATTCAGTCAGACTTACCATTAAAGGTTTTGTAGTCTACTTGTTTCCTAATTAATATAGCAGTTCAAAATTGCTAAACATTAATTTGGGGTAAAACCCCCTGGCCTGCAGTGAATTTGGTATGTCTTTTAGGTTTAGGATAGTGTGTAAATATTAGCATGTACATAAGCATTAAATATTTTTTTTTATTGAACAGCAAAGCAATTTTCTGGATAAACTTCAGTCTCAAAGCATATGAAATTTATCATTTAAGAAGAAAATGATCATCAGCTTGCCCTGCTTAGTCTCTAGCTGCCTTTTTAAAAATGTTTGCATCTTTGTTCCTCCCTACTGGCCTGTTCTGTAGAAGTCATGTTTACTGAGATCAGTTGGTGTCATTACCAGGATCATCAACATGTTTGCTGCAACCTCCAGACTGTGGCTGCTGTACAACATACAAGTATTAATATTCTCCCATCTCTTCTGGTTTAGAGCTGGGCAAAACCAAAACTGCCTCTTAAAAATGGGAATTTTGTTAATAATTTTTCTTTTTTCTATAGGGTCAAGCTGCTTTTTTAGCAGACAGAGGGTGCTTCCATGTTGTCTAGAAAATTAATGGGATTGATATGTCGTAAAAAATTGCTCTAAAAAGCAAAACACCTTACATCATTAAGGAGTTTTCTAGTAATAATTCAGAATAGAATGGAACCCAGGTTGCAAAGAGCTTGAGAAGTCAAGGAGAGAAGTAGAGAAGATGAAAGTAGACTCTTGACAGGAGAATACAAAATCATTCAGGACTACTCAATGATCCTATCCAAATACAGGACAGTTAGCTTTTGACACTCAAAGCTATTGGCTAGATTAAGAAGCACCAACACTGTGATGTAGTCTTGAGATGCTTTCTCCACCTACTTGGTTTGTATGGCCTTAAGAAACCACATGTAATATGTTTTGTGTGCTACTGTGGGAGACACGTACATTTGTCTCTCTAGCTAAATAAATGTGGCATATGTATATGTTTACATGTATAGCATGTGTATGTGGTACACAGAGATGGGGCAAATTAAAATTGTAGAAATTAAAATACCTCTGTTTATTACATGTGATAACATTCCACAAAGAGCCAGCCAAACATCGTTGTTCCCTATGCCTTGCTTTGTGCCTCTGGTTATGACACTGTTTTATATAACTTGCTATTGTAATACATTACTAAAGTATAAATGCATTGCTTTTAATACAATTTCTGTTATTTGGTATTTGTTCTGAGTTTGAGTCCATAAAGCCAGATGTGTTATTTATCCTTATAGGGGGCTTGTTCTAGCAAGATATTCCAGGAAGAGGGGATAACTGTGTCTGCCAAATTGCTGCTCAGAAGGTTTAATCTGTCAGTGGACACAGGGGCCCTGGCTTGTGTGGGGCTTATGCAAAAATTAAGGTCTAGTGCCCTTCTGAAGTGTGAGTTGGCTTTATTAGAATGTCTGTCAGTATAAGTAAACAGTATATTCTGATAAGTCTGTCTTCCAAGTCCGTTTACTTTTACAGGACTACATAAAGAATACATACTTTTGTTATGTGGAAAGATATTAGAGCTATAGCTACTTTTTATCAGCATTGATGATTTGGAATGTATTTGTCTTTTGGCACTTATATGCAGACATTTCTTGTACTGTTTGTTTCAACAGGTACTATCGTAGCTTTGACTCAGATTTCACAGCTCCCTTTGTGGCCTATCACGTCTGGCCTGCTCTGATAGAAGATGGTACTGTAATTGTGAAGGGAGAGGTAGTCACTAAAAAAATGGTTATGGTACGTATTTTGTTCAAGAAATATGTTAAGGGAAGTCAGTAGATTTCAACACGGTTTTTAAAATTTAAGAAGATAGGTTTTTAACTGTTCCCTAGATGGGTGGAGTAGTATATCAAATACCAATTAGGTTTTAGTGCCTCATCCTGTATATAGGATTAATAGTTCCATTTTCCTTAATGTATTAATTATGCAGATGTATGGCTGTTGTCAGAGTCTGTTCTAAAGGGAAAGCTTACTGTGTTTCCTCTCTGTCCTCAAACCTTGTCTCCAGCATGGCAAGTCTGTCATGGCTTGCAGAGTCTGTCTTTATTAAAACTCTCTCAGAAGTGGTTTATCAAACTTTTCTCTTGTAGTGTCCTCGTAGATGCAGAATTAGGAGCAGAAGCTGCAGCTGTGGCCGTCCTCTGCTGTGTGGTCCAGTAAGCCTCAGATGAACATTTGTAGTGTTAACAGCATCAAGTATTTTAACTAGGAATGTAGGCAACCTGTTAAAAATGCTGATGTGCCACATGTACATTTTGAAACTGGGAATAAGTGCCTTTGCTTGATGGTCTCAAATGAAGTGAAGCTGAACTGACAGATAGTTATTGCCTGGTATAATAATCAGTAGAAGTACTGTATGAGAAGTAGATCATAGTTAAATTCTCAGAAGTATCAACTGTGTATCTTGGAGTGCTTTGCCCATACTCCCATTGCTTTAGTGCCCTCCTGAATAAATAATTGCATCATCTGGAAGTGTTTCAGTCATTTTGGAGTACATATACAACACGTAGTTCTGCCTCCTGGAATTAGTAACCTAAATTTACTCCTAATTTACGAAATGCATCAATGGGGCAAAAAATAGATGTAAGGTGAGCGGGAAGGGAAGGTGGTACACGTAAGATATATGAAACTTTAGCAGAGTTCTGCATATTTTATGGTTACAAAATGTTTTAAATTATTTCTGTTAAAAATGTGTACATTTTTCTAATTGTTAGCCCATCTTATTAAATTGACATAGGTGCCCTCAACTTAAAATGTGAATATTGAAAATGTGAGAGGCTTTCACTAGGGCTCCCTTTTTTTGTGTGTGTGCAGACTGTGAAAAAAAACTAGAAAGCTGTTGAACTTGACTTAGTAACAGTAGAGCTGCACTGATAGATGTGCAGATTTTCTGAATGTTGATGGGTCCCCAGGTGGCTTTTTTTGGTTACAGTTCTTTAGCACACCTGATTTTCCGTTTCTCTTTGTCTCGCAGGTGGCTCGAAGCCGCAGTCTTTCAACAGTGAGGGTCAAAAGTAAGTGGGCATATTGGTTCCTAGTGACTCATGGTTTTCACATTAAGCCCTTGAATGATCAAACAAAAGAACAAAATAACATGTTGAACGTCTCTGATTCTGAAATACTTGCTGAAGTCTTAAATTGGGTAGGCCATTTTTTTATGTTTGGAGAAAGGCTGAGATTTCTTACTTGGAGGAAAGCTTGTTTTTTCACTCTACTTGGACCATTGTCATGGTTTCTCTGCTGGTTGCCTTCACTGTGGCCAGTGCTGTAGTAAGTAAAACTTGCTTCCTTCCTTACACAAGAGACACAAGCTACTGCACATCTGCTGTCTTCCTGCCTTTCAAATTCCAAAGAGATGGCTACGTGGTGAGAGTGAAGTGAGGGATTTCAGGCAATATGAATGTGTGCCTATCTTGAAGCCAACCCAATTCCGAGATTTAGAAAATACAGTAGCACTGAAATGTACCTTTTTCTTCCATAGGACGCTGCTAACGGAACATCTTCTGCAGTGCAATACAACTGGATTCAACGACTTTGCTGGTGCCATTTCTCTTCAGAAATGCCTCAAATCTCTCAATGAACGGAAATTGTCACTCCAAATGGAATTTGTGTTCAGTGTGTTTTTTAGAACTATAGAAGGCTTATTTATAATTTTAAAGATGAAACTCTTTTGATTTAGAAAAATAGTGCGCACAGTACAGGATCATTTGGCAAAATTTGCAAAGCTGTCAAGAATTATGTAATCTTGCAGGTGGAGATAGAATTTTTGCATCTAGAATGTTGGCTTCCCCCAGATTCCAAATGATGCCGTTTAGCTTGATAGGATGTTTAATATAACCTAAATGGTGAATGTTGCAGAATGTTGAGGTTAGCTGTTACTTGAAAACAATGTAATTCATTGGTTCTTATTTACAATTTTAGAAAATGCGATAATCATAGGATGTGGCAGTCTCCCACAGCAGCCTTTTAATATATTCTTGTGATAAACTGAATTTTCTAACTACAGTGCAGAAGTTGCACAGAGCAGTCATAAACTGTCAATAGTCCAGCAATCCTAGGGCTTTATTGACATTTATGGAAGAATGCTCATTTGTCCTTTAGCAAGGCAGTAATAGTCCTTCTTCAAATACATTCTAAGTTAGAAATTATTATAATAAAAATTTGTAGTTTGGTAGTAGAAGTATTTTGAAAGTGTGCCACTGAGTATTTGTAGGCTTGAAATATTTGATTGAGGCTTCTTCAGTGTCACACTTAATGGGCTTTCATACTGTATTGATAGATCAGTAATTGTTATGAATACAGTGAAAAAATCCTGTCCAGGTATCTCTTACTGTGGGCATTTATTGCACTTTAAGTGTAAAAATTGAAGAGACCTGAAGAGATTTAGCAGTGATAAGATGTGCCATGATGACACATGCCATCCCACTCATACCAGTTGGCTCTCTGAGCCAGAAAGAGATGAACCGAGGCTGGAGAGAGTGTGCAGGTCAGTGGAGAACACCTGAAGGAATAGCACTGAGGAACTCCAGCCACTGCAGGCAGAGAGCTTCACCAGGGCCCACCTTAAATCCTCTATTCTAAAGAAATCAGATAGGAGGGGAAGTAAACAGGAGAAACTAGAGATGTGTGCAAGCCTGCAGGGCTATGGACCATATTGGCAACCTGAGAAGTGGATGGTTCCTGTGTCTGGAGGGCTGGAATGGAAGGGCAAAGGCACTTTACGAGGGAAAGGCATGTGAGATGAATGTTATTGCCCTCTCTGTTGACCAGCTGGAATGCATGGAGCTTGACCTGGGCATGGATGAGGAGCTGACTGGGTAAGGATTAAAAGGGAGGGCAGGAACAGGTGTCATTATTAGTGGGGAACTGCTACAGGCCACCTGGCCAGAAAGACTTGAGTCAATGAGGCCCACTACAGACAGGTAGGAGCAGCCTCATGTTTGCAAGCCCTGGTCCTCATGAGGGACTTCAACCACCCTTATACCTGTTGGAGGGACAACACAGCAGGGCTCAGGCAGTTCAGGAGGTTCCAGATGTGCACTGATGGTAACTTCCTTCTCTAAGTGACGGAGGAACCAGTGGGGAATGTGAAGCTCAAGGGGAGCCTGAGCTGCAGTGACCACAAATGGAGGAACCAGTGAGGGGAGGTGTATGCTGGACCTCAGTTCTCACCAACAAGGAGCAGCTGATGGGGAATGTGAAGCTCAAGGGGAGCCTGAGCTGCAGTGACCACAAAGTGGTATAGTTTGAGATCCTTGAGTCAATGAGAAGAGTGAGAAGCAAGCTTGCTACCCTGTGCTTCAGGAAAGCAAACTTTGGTCTCTTCAAGGATGTCCTTGATAGAGTGCTGTGGCATAGAGTCCTGGAGGGTAGAGGAGCCCAAGAGAGCTACATGATATTCAAGGATTGTCTCTCCAGGGTGAAAAGCAATGTATTTCTACAAAGATGAAATCAGGGAAGAACACCAGGATACCTGCATGGATGAACAAGAAGCTCCTGGACAAACTTAAACAGGTAGCTTACAGAGGGTGCAATCAGGGAAAGTAGCCTGGGATAAACACGGAGAAATTGTCCCAAAAGCCAGGTAGCTGTTTACGAAAGCAAAAGCACCAGCAAAAGTAAATTTGCCAAGGGCATCATAGCTAACAAAAAAGTGCCTTCAGGTGCATCAGCAATAAAAGAAAGACTAGGGAAAAATGTGAGTCCTCTCAGGAAGAATACAGGAGACCTGGTTACCCAGGAATGGAGAAGACTGAGGTATTCAATGACTTTTTTGCCTCAGTCTTCACCAGCAAGTGCTCCAGCCACGTTGCCAAAGTTGTAGAAGGTGAAATCAAGGATTTAGAGAATGAAGAACTATGGGCTTAGAAGCCCACTGTGATCCCCCTACTTGGCTTAGCCGGGAGGAGCTGGCTAATAAAGAGGAATGGGAATGATGGAATAGCCCAGAAAAGAAAAACTTTAATAATGAAAATAATAACCGTGGCACAAGGTACAGAGGCTAGATTCCAAAGACCCTTTGGGTGGGGCACATGCAACCAGGTACAGGGGCACAGGTCCAATCAGGTGAACTCAGAACATGACCTTATAAGAAAAAAGTCCTGAACCAACAGAGAAGGGAAACTGGAAACTTGACCAAATACAGGAAGGTTCTATTACATACTACTCCCAAGAACCCATGGTTCCCACTGTGACCTGACTAGGTGTCCCTCCTCAGTATACTGCCTGCCATTGTCTGAGGTCAAAACCCTCTGTAAAATCATCTGAGATAAAGATCTTAGCAGGATGAGATTCCACAAAGAACTGTCTGCTGTAGGAGGAGAATGAGTTTCAGAACATCTCAGGAACATGAAGGTGCACAAGTCCCTGACATCTGGTGAGTAACATCCACAGGAACTGGCTAAGGAAGTGACTAAGCCACTATCCATCAGGTTTGAGAAGTCATGGCAGTCCCATGAAGTTCACATAGACTGGAAAAGGGCAAGCATAACCCCCATTATTAAAAAGGAAATAAAGAAGACCACTGCTTGTGGAAAAACCAGTTGCATCCTCATTGTTTACACTCTGCAGGACAGACAGCATTTTAAATGCTGTGCTCTCTAGAGCACATTTTAAATGTCTGGTGCTCTCTAACTTGTGAGATGTTTTTGTTTGACTCTGCAGAAACAGAGAGAGAAAGCCATTAAAAGGAGAGGAGGCGCAAAATCAGAAAAAAGAGTCCAAAAATATTGCCAGGAGAAGCAGGGTTAAGATGTGACTGGCCATTGCCTGTGTGTGTAACGTGCAGTAGAACCGAGGACTCACAGCATGGACTTGGTCAGCGAAGCTGGTCTTGCTGGACAATGCAGGGTAGCACTACTTGCACTTGGGCTGTGTGCTCTCCCTCTTGCCCATAGGACCCTCCTGGCAGGATGCAGGACTTGTGCTCCCTTGGCACGTACCAGAGAGGGGCTGTGGTTTGTAGAACACCTTGGAGCAGAGCAAAAACCTTATGAAACCTTACCAGAATGACTAGAAAGGGCTAGTGGGCGTTTTAGATGAAATTATATGTATTAACCTGAGGGAACCAACTTGGGAAAAAAAAAATTACATCTCATTTTCTTGAGGAATTGTTTGTCTAAAAAAGGCTCAGGGCTCCTTTGCCCAGCATAAGACACAAAGCTGAATATTTCCCACGAGATGGCACTATTGCCGTAAGAACAGAAAAATCAGGTTTTAATTTCAACTGCAGTTTTAAAAGCTATTGCCATCATGAGGTTTGCCAATAAATGCATAATAGTCACAGACTGAAGTAGCATCAATGGATGTCAAATGGAGAATTAGCTTGCTGATTGAACTATTGAAGTTTGCTGCCTGATATAAATATGAAAATCCTGACGTATGTGTTGTGAGATGAACATCATTATCAATACATTATTGGAGAACTGTTTGAGTTTAGGTTTTTTTCCTGTTGAGGGGTCAATTTTTCAAAATTACATTAATGAGTCTTTCCAAAGTGAATATTATTTATCTGGTTGTATTCTGACCAGTCTTCTTAAAGAACATATATAAACTGAAATTCAGGTTGAAAATTAACTTCTCTTAACTAATTTGTCCTTTTAAAATTGCTTCTAGTTCTTATCAAGTTCAAGAAAATGGCAGCTTGCAAAATTGTTATCTTGTGTATGTTTTTTTCTGTTGCAATGGCTGACTGTCAAGTTGCTTCACTATTCCCTTTGTCTATGACTGAAATAGATGTTTTTGGACATCTTTGCAGGCTTTTTAATGAAGTGCAAAGCCTTCGAATCAGGAAGGTACTCCCTGCTTTTAGCTGGACCTCTGTTCGTTTTCTAATCAAAGACAGAGTCAATTGCACCTGCTGAACCCTCAGGATACAGCTGGAGGGAACACTGCTGTCACAGCAAATGGTTTAGGTAATTATGTTCTTCAACTTATTAATTACTGTTTTAAAAGAAAGTTTGTTTAGCACCATGCTCTATCTTTAATTGCAGTGTTGGTCCAGAATGTCATTTCTCTAATGCTTGGAAGTTTTCTTCTGTATCCAGCCCAAATTTATTCATTTCCTATAGCCGAAGAGGCTATACCTCTTTGTTCTTCTGCCAGTGTGATTATCTTCAGAAATCCTCATTCCCTGTCTTTGGTATTTGCCCTACTGTTGAGAGCAATCGTGTTTTCTCCTCTAAAATAAAACCACCAAATCTTTCCATATCCTTTGAAGAGAAGCTTTTCATTGCCTTGATTATCCTTTTTGGGTGGCTCTGGGTATATTTCTGTTTCAGTTCATCTTTCTGGAGTACAGATGACTAGAAATGGTGCCCAGTATTCAGGATAAGGCCTGACAACAGCTTTGTATGATACACTTATCATTTTCATTGTACCGTTGTAGTGTGTCTGTGGGGAGTGGCTCATTATCTGTGATCAGTTAATAAGCTTTATTATCCTCAGTTGTTTCAAATTGATGAGTCTTTTTCCCGCTAGAACTTAATTCAGCCACATATTTTTTGGTGGACTCTTGATGTCTAAATGCTTTTCATACAAATGGCACGGATCTTTTAGAAATGCTGAGCTTTGGGCATCCATTTGCACACATACCATGGCAATGTGAATGCCATAGTGCATCATGGTGTGTTCCTCTATTGCTAAAACTTACTACAGGGTGATTCTTTGCATTAAGCAGCCGAAACAGATTTTAGTAAGCAGACTTACAAAGTTTCAAAGTAGCTACCTGGAGGTTGATGATGCAAAGGAAAATATCTTACTTAACTCTATTTATGTCCATTTGGCCAAGAGAAGAAATAAATGTGAAGAGTATCACTATAAACTTGAAATATTTGGAGACCATTTGAAATATTGGAGACCATTCAATGGGCAGGTCTCTGTCAATATTAACAGAATGAAATACTAGAAATTCCTCATGAAAAGAATAGAAGTTATATACCTCATGGTTTGCAGCAAGAGCTTTAAATAATACTGAAATATGTTATAAGTCATCTAACTTTGCCTTTTGATTTATTGATGACATGGCTGTCATTTCTTGAGACATGATTTTTTACTTAGTTGAATTTGTCTACCCCTTAGATTTGACGAGGGCCTTCATAGGCATCTCTACAATATATGTATAACACTTGTCAGAGAAAAAATGCCCTTCTAAAAATATTTTCTGTTCTCATTGTTCTTCCTTCACAGTTCATCTACTGTGCAGCTTTCAGACTAAAATCTTTGGGTCAGGAACAGTTTCTTACCTTTTGTGCAGCGGGGCTGGATTTCACGGTTGACGTGTCTGCGAAGCAGATGCAGCCTTACCATTATCAGTGCTTGGTGCAACATGCTCCCCTAGTCCCATGAGTCAGTGTGGACCCATCCACACTCCTGTTGCACAGCATGAATCACTCTCTGTGCCCAAGTGTTGTGCAGTTAGAACAGCTCCATCATCTCCTATAAATAAAAACAACCCAGGCATCTGGATGAGTGTTTACGTGCACAAATTCCTACGCGTTATAAAGACAGGGAGGAAGGATTAGAGGGAATATGATGAAAAGACACATTGCCTCTTACATTAAGAGCCTTCCTAAGTTACCCCTAAAATATGTGGGCCTTGAAATGGTCTTGAAATGTACACTTTTCCCTTATTTTTGAATAGGCTTAAAAGTAGCTTCCTCCTTATCTCCCTAAAGTATGGACTGCACACAGGGAGAAAAGCTGCTTGGGAGTTTCGGCTGGGCCAAGGACAGGAGATTTTTCATAAGGTCAGCTCTTCCCCCCTAGCTGCTGTCTAGGAGACTTCTCAGAATTTCAATAGATGGGCTGTTCTTATAGGGTGGTTTTTGTTGCTGTTGTTGTTTTGGGTTTGGCTTTTTTTTTTTTAATTTTATTTTTTTAACTTGGCCTTGGAATAATATCAGATAAATGAGTACTTCAACAAATGGTGAAAGTTGCCTCAGAGAAATTGCTTTTGGCAACTGTTCCTCCTAATTAAAATGAAAGTCTGAAAAGCCTCAGTCTTTGGGAACAATTAATCAAATGCCGACACTAGATAAGATACAGATAATGTTTTGTGCCTATTAATTGCTTTCTACAATTAGCATGTGTGTGTTCAGCCAAATGCAGCCTGACCCTGATGTGGTGGGAAGGAGAGGTTTGGAGTGAATGGAGGGCAGCACCTGTCACTTGCCCTGCTGAGCCAACCAGTGCCTTCCCACCTTCCTGCTAACAATAAGAACAATTAGTAGAAAGTTTCAGTACTGAGAGACTCCCAAACTGTCCCCAGGACCCTGCAGTGGGCAACAAGGGTCCTTGTTCTGGTAGCTTAGATGCAGCTGCTACAACACCTCTGTGAGCATTTGAGTGGATGGCCAGACAGAAAAAAGAAAGATGAATTCTCTCCTGCTCAGGTCCAATATACTAATTTCCCTGCTGGGGACTTAAATGCTGATCTAGAGTGGTTAAAGACAGGTGTGCAGGACCTCCAAGTTGTGTTTAGATTTTTTATTTCTCAAACTGTTACATAATTAACAGTCATCAAAGTCCTGAGGACATCTGTCCTCTCTGCCCTCTAGAGTAGCAGCCTCAAAGCCAGGAGACTTGTACAGGACAGGGCTCATTTGACCCCTGAAGAGGTTAGGAGCTGGTGGAGGTCCTGGGGGAGGCTCTGCATCCTCAGAGACCTCAGAGGTTGTTCCTGTCCTCTGTCCCAGCTTGGGAGGTCAAAAACACACTGAGAAAGTGCCAAGCAAGAGCTGCAGATAAAACCAGTGTGTGCACACGTGTACAGTGGTCAGGTGAATCTCCTGGAAAAAAACATGCAACCAGAGGCTTTGGGAGGCAATGCTGGGTTTATGGCAGCCCAGCAGTAGGAGATATGACCCCAA